TTTGAATTGTTAGCACCACATACCTTCACTGGTTTGTTGACTTCTTATGTCACTGTATCTAATAAATAACTAGAAGGCTCAGTGGAATTCAGATGCTGTCCGCCGGTTCTCTCCCTCAGCACAATTACCCTTCGTTCTTCTTATCTTCATTAGGTTTACTGCAGAGATCCATTGTAGGCTCCACACATCTTTGAGCTTATCCGGAGCTACTAGGAGACATTCCTCGTTTCTATATCCTGTAATCTCCGAGATTGTCTGTACCACTTACCTTCGCTGGCTTGTTGATGTGTTCTGTGACACTGTAGCAATCCACTTGTAACCAAATAACCTAATGGACTGGCTACAGCAGGCCACCGAAAGTTTCTCGCAGCGCCATTTTCTGTCGATCCTCTTAAACCTAAGCACTACTGCTTAGCAGCAACTAGAGTTCGTAGGCTCCACGCAATTCTGGAGCTTGCTAAGAGCTGCTCTCTTTTATCTCGAACATCGTGGCTGCCTGTGTCACATACATCCGCTTTTTGCTGATTTATTATGAGCAATTGTGGGCATACACTAGCAACTAAAAGGCTTCATACAAATTCCATTGCTTAGCACTGATACTCACACTTACAGTGACCCTAACTTTTCATTTTCTTCCCTCTGGCTCCCGTGTTAGGCGGCAGTCCATCTTCATAAGCTACTATCAACTTTGTGCATATACTGAGCTGCTAAGGTCCACACTTTTCTGTCCTGGTTCTTCCTATACTTTCTGCCTCAAGCGTTGGTCACCTACATGAGACTGACTTGTTCTTCTTTTTTTCTGTTTTTTGTTCTTTATCTTCTCGACTGGACTGAGAGTACTTTTTTTTTAATTTAAGACTGACTTGACCTGCAGTTGCGGACCTTGCACGGTGCGTCCACATACACTTTACACTATTAATAGAAACTTCATTGCTGGTCTGTTGACCTAATCAGGTGTCGCCCCCACCTTATAGCCATACCCCAACGACAGGACGCCCTTGGCGCTGCAGCACCCCTCGACCAGGGTAGCCCCCTCACACAATGCCCGACCCCCCAGCAACTGTCTGAGGCTCTACCCCGCAATTCCTGGCAGTCGTGTGTGTATCTCTCGTCAAACAACAACAACGTGAGCGGAGGAGGAAGGAAACAAACAGGGAGGAGAGAGATACCCACAGACTGGTGAGTTTGGGGGGACATTTTAGTGTCAGCCTTGTAATTGCTAGTGGAACCTATGGTTCCAACAGAAGCGAAACAAGTGTATGTTGACCGCCCCCCGCCGGTCTGCCTCCCAGAGGCCGAGACGCAACTGGCTTGAGGCCGCCCCGAAGCGTGGAGCCCTACGCCAGCTCTCTTCAGTCATCGCCACATAGCACCCCGAAGCTCGACGCAAACTTGGCCCCGGCATGGCGCCCCAAGAAGTGCCTGCCGTACCCCACCCCCCGGGCGACGGGGGCGGCGCCCAGCCGGGGCCGACCAAGGCAAACGTTACGGTCACTGTAAGTGTGAGTCAAACTCAGTTGCTACAGCAAAGACTTTGTATACGCCATTTCGATGCCTAGTGTCTGCCCACAATTGCTCATAATAAATCCGCAACAAGCGGATGTATGTTGAACCCCAGGCCTAGCCAGCCACGATGGTTGCGAGATAAAGAAGAGCAGCTCTTAGCAAAAGCAGCTCCAGAAAAATTTGCGGGCGCCTACCGAACCTCTAGTTGGCTGCTAGCACGTATGCTTAGGTTTTAACGGAAGACGACAGAAAATGGCACTTGCGAGAAACTTTCGGTGGCCTGCTGTACTTTGGGAATCCAGTGCGCACTGAGCCTCGCCATATGGATGCTATTAGTGCACATCCAGCAGAAAATGCCTTCATAGAGAATATTTCAAGACCAAAGATGGAAAAGTGATGCTAGAGTTCTGGGCTTCACACATTAGGTCTCAAAAAATCTTGCTTACACACAACAGGGGCGCAAAAATATCGCTTATCCGGCGCGCGGTTATACAATCTTCGGTCCACTCTCTGCTAAACCCTCATCGCCACCTCAGGAGCTGAGCTAGGATACCGCATGTTAATGAAGAACAATCTCATATTTGAGATAAATATTCACAGCGCGGGTGACCAATGATGTGAATAATAAATAACGCCTCGCACCGAGACGGGACCTTACTGTGTTAGAGCGACGGATTTAGGTAAGCGTCTGGTCGTTCACGCTCCTTATGACACCATCGGAAGCATATACTGTTAGGGCATACTCGAGCCTCTGAGATGCGGAGCTACTCCTCGCATTAGCATCAACTGGTGGCACGAAGGTCAGATACGAACTCAGTATCCTGGCGTCCCTCCATAGTTGGGCTTTGGCGAATGGCGTGTATGCGAATCCATGGTCTGTAACAACTACATAACCTTAGTCGACTCCCCGCTGCACAATTGCGGACGAGAGAACTTTCTGAGCACCTAAAGGCTTTCTGGATCATGACCGACCCCTTATCCTCTTCGCTTCACTCTCTAGGGCCCTGGGCGCCCTGGCGGCATATCATCTCACATACAACCATGTACTTTTTCCTTCAAACTCAATAAACTTCAACTTGGCTGCTCGCCGTCTGCGCTGATTATCAACGGGCAACTTATCTCTGCTGCATCCTGGTCTCGGCAGGACGGATAAGTGAAAACATGCACTTGTCTGGTGCCTTCCCTCATCGATTGCTTATTTATTTTTTACATCGTCTTCTCTGTACACGCACTGATCTGATGGAGAATTAGCCGCCGAGTTTGAGCGTTGCCTGTTACGCAATTCCATGCATCAAACATTATTTCATTGTGAAGTATCACCTATGACAACTCGGATGCGGTTTTGTTGAACTGCCATTGCTGAGTTCGAACTGCCGACTTTCTTAATGTTTCGAACAACAACTATTTTGGCTTGACGCTCTCGCATTTCGACATTGCAAAACGCACGACATTGAAGCCCGATTGTGTCTGTGCTCTCCTTCGTTCCCCTAGCGAATAGACACAGTCAACGAAGGTGTTGTCACGTATTCAGTTGCTAGTACAGCTAGGTAATGAGGGGAGATGACACACATATACGTAGTACGGCAATAGAACGCTATAACTCCCGTGTCAAGCGCCGTACTGACCTTTCGAATCGTGATATCTCTTTCCGGGCTCATTGCAGCCGGCTACAACAGTTATCATATCGCTATTTCGCTAATTGTGACTGATCCACAGACACACTCAGGACAGACAACTCTCAAGCGTCCGAACTAGAGACAGTTCCGCAACTATTCATTTTTTCCCCAGTGGTTGAGAGGTACTCGTTGTGCCTTTGAGATTAGTATTTCAATATCTCACTAATCCTAGTCTACTAATACATTGCGCTAACGCAGAGTACGCTCTATAGGTGTCTGAGACGTCACTCACTTTTTATCGTAAACCATGGAAACAGTCCGAGCATAATAGAACCCTAGGATCTGCTGGAGGTCTCTCCTTCCCTTAGCTATCTTCCGTACACCTAGCATCCGCTCACTGTTAACTCAAAACTTCCAATTCTTGGTGATTAGATTCACGTGGTTCTCTTTTGTGCATTCATTCAAATTAGAGGTCTTGAGTCTAAGTGATGAACTAACACAGACATTCACTTCTATCGACCTCTACGCTGCAATCTAATAGCGAACAGCTGTCTGTACTACACGATTTCACTCCCCAATGCTGTGATATAAATGCAAGGTTCTCAACGTTATCATTTCCAAGACACGAAAACCAACCGCCCAGCGGATGGCAAGCCACGCGTCAGTGACAAGAGAAGACGGAACACAATGCGCCAATAGACTGTAGCAATACATTCGCGTAACTACTAGAGAACAGTCTGTACTAGCAACTGCCATGGGGCAGTGCGTCTTCTATCAGGACGCGATCCTGCAGTCTCGGGCGAGGATTCTCAACGTGTCCTCTAATCCTATACGTGCGGATGCTACGGCTGGGCTGTTTTTTATAGATCTTCCCTACACTGACCATCGAATCCTAGATTTGGTAGATCAGAATGATGCAAAGGCAATACCTCATCTCAGTTGTTCTACGCTCTACCTCTCGCATGTGACAGTCTCGCGGAGATAACATTAAACTAAAAATCTTACTCGCGAATTATGGCACGAATTTTAGCGCTGTATCAGCCGGAAAACACATCAAGCTTCACACATCTCGATCTAGCATAGTATTCAAATAGTCGGTACTCCTTCGTTTCGGATGCGAATCACGCCCGTATTGAATAAGCATAATACTGCAAGAGTTACGAGCGCTGGACATGCAGAGCTGATATAGCGTTGTCTGTCCACAGTGTATCCACACATTCACGCCACCCGATCGAGGCTTTCCCGCTGATAGCCCAAGCCATTATCTAGAGTTTTTCGATCCGTCAGTTCGACTACCCAGAACCGGCATCACTCGAGACATAGCGCTCATCAGTAGTCTTCACCCTGTTAGCTGAGCAAACATATATAAGTTCTCTTTTACGCTAGCAAATTCATCACTTACTTTATGTTCAATGTCCGCACGACTTTACAACCATGTCCTTAGCCTCTTATGTGCATTCGTGCGAATCCAGTTTACTCCTCAAATGAATACGGTCTCTCGATCGATCATAGACACTATAGCCGATTCACATCAACACAACTCGACACATTCATACTAATTCGTATTTCCATGGTCACACAATCCAACTAGGCCTGATTATTGTCAGAGAACAAATTGCTCGTTGTAGAGAGCCGTCGACCGTGCTACAGGCAGACCCCGCTTAGCGGTACCCCGTTTGAGGCGCCATCGTAAATTGTACCAAGCCCTTCAACTTCTTGCGCGCAACGAGAGAGAGCGTGAGAATCCAACCATTCGTCGGTATCAGCGGCGTAGTTATGCTTCTGCGTTACCTCGGCTGGTACGGTCAACAAGGCAGCGTAACGCAGGTTTCGCTCCGAGCGCCGGCTGCTAATCACTAAAGATCGTCTTCACCAGGAATGGGGGGGGGGGGGGGGGGACGGGGGGGGGGGAGGGGGGGGGGGGGGGGGGGGGGGGGTGCGGGGTGGGGGGGGAGGAGGGAGGGGGGGTGGTGGGGGGGGGGGGGGGGGGGGGGGGGGGGGGGGGCACACAACAGGGGGGGGGGGGGGGGGGGGGGGGGGGGGGGGGGGGGGGGTCATGAAGGGGGGGGGGGGGGGGGGGGGGGGGGGGGGGGGGGGGGGGGGGGGGGGGGGGGGGGGGGGGGGTCCAAACACAACACATAGATGTGTCACATATACAGTCACACAACACCATGACGCGTTAGAAAAACGAGATGTCTTCCTTAGTACAATGCCCTTCCAAGCAGCTTCTAAGTCGATACTGGAGACCGAAGTTTTAGCGGTATAATAATAATGGGCCCCGTCAGCTCCATGATGAGGTCGTTTTCCAGGCTCGACTCTCGTGTGGCAACGACAAGCGCGTACTTCCAAGCACGCACCAGGGCACATCAGCTCTCGCACACTTAGTTGTTGAGAAGTCGTTAAGCCGATCTTGGCCGACGCTCACGCCTCGAGGCTCAGAGTTGCAAAATTCACATCTCACTCTTGAGTCGCCATCTTTTATGCTGCCAGTGCGTCAACCTCGAATATCGCGACCGATGCGATCCTTTCTTGCGTAGTTCAGAGACGAGACTAAGCCTAGAGCTGCGTACCATAATCCTCCATAAATCTGCATGAGTCGTTCTCGCCCTCTCTCAGAGCAGATAGTAGACTTCTATCGACATCCACACGCGTGCCTACAGTTTCACATGTGAGCCACTCATTATCACGTACGCACGCTAAAAGAAAAGAAGCCTCATAGATTCTAGGTACATAGCTTAGCGTGTATCCAGTATTACGCCAGAGGTGGCTGCTATCACTCACTCCCATTCGTGGTTCCACCTCAACCGACACAACCTTTTAATAAACTTTTGAACAGGCATCCTAAGCTCGGTTCGCGTCCCTGAAACTTTGCCCTTCCACGATGCCTCAATGTACACGGCGAAGTAGCATAACGCCGTCATCACTAATGCTGAAGGACAACATTTACAAAGACTAAGGGACAGACAAAGAGGGGCAGAGGCCCTCAATCTCACGAGCATCGTTGGACAGTTTAGAAAGAATAAGGCGTAAGACAGTCGCAATGCGACACAGCACGCAAAGCATGACTACGCCCAGCCGCGACCAAAGGTACCTCCACAGTCGCAGAGCGCTAAGCGGAACTATTCGTAAACAGACCATACAAATGCGAGGCTACCGCGAGCCACAGAAGCCGTGAAAGACAACTCACTATGGTGTCTCTCTGACAAAAACTCTTCCAAGGGCAAGCAACGATCCATGAACGAAGTCACCTATTCCGCCATGTGGGACCCGAAGTCAGAAATTCGACGCGAATTCTTATGTCGTCCACCCTGTGAGTGACTAACACGAGCGTAGATGGCGTCACTGAGTACATAGCGCAAGTCTACCAGGCGTCTCGCACTGGGTGCGTCACGATGCATAAACTCTACTACCCCCACTCTTCACGCACCGTATCGACGATCTCTGACGTTTGACTCTTACGCAGATTGGCAGTGTGATGTTCCAGAAACGTTAACGAGAATATCATTTTCCGCTACCATATCGCTTTCATACATATAACAATT